AATAATCCTTTTATCTTAGTATAAACACACAATGAACCATTAGAGAACCTGCTATATAATTATACTAACATAACTTATGTTTGAAGATACGATACAACGTAATATTGTATTAAAACCATTAATATTGAATTTCTCCCTTCTCTCACAAATTCATCATCTCTTATCACTTAAGAGAGATATTGGTAACTATTAGATGATTATATTTGAGACTATCGGGTAGATTTATTAAAGTTTATCATGTTTTAAATTATAAATGAGTATGAACACACAATGAACCATTATACCCCACATTTTATTCCTTAAAATCTTGACACTTTTTATTTAATTATTTTTTTTCTTTTTATATATTTTTAGTCAATAGTTATAAATCAATGATTGAGATGAATTTTAGTAGGATACAAAACCTGGAGATACATGTATAATAAGGAGTTGTCTATCGTATCAAAAAAAAAAAAGTTAGTACCATATCAATATTTATTATATTTGTGGATGTTTTATCCCTGTTATGGTACCAAAAAAAAGTGGTAAATAACACAACAGTGCTAAATCACCCACAAATGTGGGAAATCATCCGCAAAAAGTAAAAAAAAAATTATACCAAAGAAAAATGATAAAAATAGTTATAACAACAGTTGTAAAAATACTTATAACAATGGTAAAATATACTCACAAAATTGATAAATTGTTTAATTATAAAAATGACCCAAAAAAATTATAAAAATACTCATTAAAATAATAAATTTTAGAGGTAAGATACCAAATTTTTTGTAATACCATAATCAAACCCATATAACAAAAGTAGTAAGTCAAGTAAAGGTCTTAAAAGATAAAGGGAGACTCTAGGAACCATAGTACTATCGGTTATCATTTTTTATGAAAAAATTATCACTTTGAAGAGAAGTTATAATTGTTTGAGAAAAGATTACGATCAATTACAAATATTTATAATTAATCATAAAATTTTATTATCAGTCTTAATCTTTTATGATCGATCAAAAATATTTATGATTAATCATAAAATTTCAGTATCGATCTTAATCTTCTATGATTGATCATGTCTTTTAAAATTATTAGTAATGCACCACGTGCGTTTCATGTGACTAATTTTTTTAAAAAAAATTAATAAATAAATATTTATTATATGTAAATTTGAATTAAATATCATCTCAAACTTATTTTTTCATCACTCATGCTCCATTATGGAATTTTTAAAAAAATTTTATATATTCAAAATTTGTTTTTCTAACTTAAAAAAATGAAAAAAAAAAGAAAATAAATAATGAAAGTTCTATTTCTTTCTTTAATTTTGTAATTGAAAGTATTTTTTAGTGATGTTTGAAAATTAAATTTTTTTAAATTAATTTGATTAAGTTTCCACTTATAAATCATTGAACAAAATAAATAATTATCAATATACCAATCGTATTAAAACTTTACAGTATTTAAGATTAATTAGGTCAATTGAGATAAAATTTAATATGCAACACTATTATATATATTATAAAGTACATCAAATTTTTAAAAAAAAAATCAAGCTTTCACATAAAACCTTAACACAGTTTAAAAAGTTTACTGTAACTAAAAAATCATATAAACATATATACACATTATTTTTTATCTTAAAATAAAATAGTTTTAATGAAAAATAAAATATACATATGTATCCATAATATTATCTTTATAAAGGAGATGAGTAAAATAAGAGTAATATAATATTATTTTTTAAGAATAATATAATCAATCAAAAAGTTTCATAAAAATTAATATTTATAAATAGATAATAGATAATTAAAATATTAATTGATTAAGATTCTATTTGTAAATCATTGAATAAAATAAAAATAATTATTAATATATCAATATATTGGAACCTTACTGTATTTAGAATTATCTAGGTCTATTGGGATAAAATTTAATATACAAAAATCAAGTTTTCACATAAAATCTTAACACAGACTGAAAAGTTTAGTGTGACTAAAAATTATGTAAAGCTATAATACATTATTTTTTTTATCTTAAAAATAAAAGGATTAAACATTTTGATGAAAAATAAAATATAAATATATAGTCATAATTTTATCTTTAAAAATGAGGTGAATAATATTATATTGATAAAATTTTTGAAGGTTTTTTTGAATATATAGTTAAAACTTATAATGATGCATATATTTTTTAAGAATAATATAATCATTCAAAAAGTTTCATAAAAATTGATATTTATACATAGAAAATATATAATTAAAAATTATCTTATAAGTAATTTGGAGATTTAAATGCATAAAGATATGATGATAATTTAGATATTAAGTGTGGAAGGATAAAATGATCTTTTTAATTTTTTATGAGGGCAAAATATTGAATCAAAAATTTTTTATATTAAGTTAATGTTATTAGTAGTATAAATAATGTATATTTCAAAAAAATTATAATTTTATAAATTTTATTACCTACACCGCCGCAGTATCATAATCTTTCCCAAAAGATAAATATGTGATATGATCAGTAGTCACTTTCATTGATTTGATTAAGAAAAGCTTAAAAGGATAAAAGCAACTTTCCAAGCCCCTTGGTTTGTTGGCCAGCCCATTTGCCAATGAAGTCCGAGTTCAGTGTTATAAAAAGGAATGTTGGAGTAGAGATACAAAAAAAAAAGAAAGTAGAGATTGGTACAATGTTGTTGTCATTGTAATCCCCATATCATACATGGACTGCTTACTAGCTTTTTGACGTTAACACCTCGTAATAGAAGATTTTTCTACCACAAATTCCACTTAATACCCTCCTATTTATGGTTATGTTCCTCTAGACATCTCATTCGAGAACCAAATTATAGTGCTAATTCCGTCAATGACACGGTAAAATGACCTTAATACCTATGTTTTTTTTTTCACTTTCTCTCGCTTGTTTCTATTATTTTTCTTTTAGAAGCAATTAACCTGAGAACCAACTCATGCAAACCCCCGGAAACACTACCAACATTGTCGGGGCCGCCCACCTCCAATCCCAATCACTGTTGCTCACCAGCCCCACACGGCCACACCGACCCATCTCACTCAAAAACCCAGCAAGACTCTGTACCCCTTTGGCTCATCCAATCCATCAAATGAAACCTACCTCGCGATCGAATGCCATCAAGTCTCCACCATCCAAGTAATTGAAACTCAATACCCCGCGACAATGACCACACCATCATCAACCATACTGTCAATCATCGCAAAAGTCCCTCGATCATTGTAAAAATTCCAACCTTAATTAATCTCAATTTTAATTCATTATATTCTTCAAATTATTGATCTTCCGACTTTGTCAAAGCTTACAAATATATGAATTCGTTTAGTTTGTTATTGATCGTATATATGCGAAATTTATATTATTATCGATAAATAAATTATATATGATTAGAATAACTCTCTATTATTAAAAAAAAATATACGCACAAGACAGAAAATCACATCAATTCAATGCCTCTAGGTACCGTTTCTAATCTCTTTGTGCACATTCATATCACATCAGCATGAGACAGTGAAGACTCATTGTCTAATGGGTCACACTCAAAGTAATAGAACTGTAATTAAAAAATTAATAATAAAAGCACAATAATTCGAGCACATAATCCAATTAATTCCACTTACTTAAATGTACATTGCAGAATTATACTAAGAACTACCGATAAGCATCTTAAAAAAAATTGTTATATTACAAATAAGTGATTAAGACTAATCAAATTAAGCATTTTTCATTAAAAAATTATTTGTCAATTGGAGTTATTATATAGTAATTAACGATCACCACTCACCCACCTGAGGTGGCATGAATTTTAAACAAATTGTATGACCTGTACTAAACTTGTATCTTAATCATTCCCCCATTAATTAATCAATTAATGTTCAATGTCCAGTTCCTTGAGATATACTGTAATTAAAAAAAAAGATAATAAATATTATTTTTTTTATTGTTTTTTGAAATCCTCAAAATACAGCTAACAGGAATCTGCAGTAGTAATTCTCTCATTTCCCATCACACTGCAAATTCAGTTGTTTATATTTATCACCCCAAGAGGCTTCAAACTCATCTGTACTCAACAAAAATAACACTTTCTCCACATGGTTCCATTCCTTATATACTTAGGATTGCTACAATGTCAGTCAAGCTAAAATTTCTCTCCAATCTCTATGAAGACCATAGCATATATTAAAATTAATTACAACAATATAATCGTCAGCCTATAATTTAGTGAATTAGTGGATCTTATTGACTTTCCCTAGGTGAATGTGCCCCAAATTTTTTGGGTCATATTTTTTTTTTTTTTATTCAACAGTTACAAATATTCAAGTCAATTTACACATATTTTGACTAATTATCACTTGAATTATTCATAACGTCTCCGTTATTTTTAGACCATTAATTATTCTAAAAAAATCAATAGTATTATAAATGATTATGTAGTAATATAATAAAAATTAAATATTTTTTATAGTATTATCGAAATAATTTAAAAATGAGGAAAAACAAATAGCTGACACGTGGCAGGTTCTTAGGGCTTCAACAGTGAATGCAAAAGCTTATGGTCCAAATAGAGGTTCCGATCAATTGATGCTTTTCAATATTCTCCCATCCCATTGTACACCACCCCACAAATATCAGAGTTGTTTGGTCCTTTACATAAACCCAAATACAGACTCCAGAGAAGTCCTACCTTTTTTATTATGGAAAGCTATTTATAAATACACCAAGACCCTTTTAGATTCACTCCTGAAAATTACAAGATCCAACCCAAAACACAAAGAAATATACAAATAAACCCCACTAATGAAAAGCTAAAACCTTAAAAAGGTTGGTAAAATGAAGTGGCCAAGTTCAAAAAAAAAAAAAGGAGACACACTTGGAAGTGGGGGTCTCACTCTCACTAAGGCAACCAGCTCATCTCAGGCCACTCTGCTAGGGTTTGGTAGGCTGGAACCAAGTTTGTCCAACTCACTATCTCCACCTACCCAGTCAACTCAGGTGAGTTTCCAGGCCGAGGTAGCAATGAGTGGCCTTGTATGCCAGCCCAACATCAAACACCCATTATTCTCTTCCACCCTATACCCATCACCCCCGTTAAACAAAGCCAACAACATACTAGCCTGTTTAAACGCATTAGAACCCAAATGAACCGGTTTAAACCCGGCCGACTCCAACCGAGTTCGCCACTGAGCCAGAGTCTCATGCCTCTCAACCCGGTCAACACCCTCACAAGCAACCACATTGCAGATCTGCCTCCCTAGGTACACCTCAGACATCACCTTATCTTGATTACTCACCGGCGACACCGACCCACCACCCCCGCCGCCACCTCCACTCTCCAATGAATCAAACAAATTCGAATAATAGTGCAAAGACTCGGTGAATCGTTCTAAAAACACAGTTCCATTGTTATTAGCTTCTTGCTCAACCAGAGTCAAAATTACAGGCTTCAATTCCTTCACCACCCCTAAGACTTTCTCAATAGCCCCTGGCCTAGCTAATAACTGGTGCAAGTCAAACACAGAATTCACAGCAACAACCTCACCTTCTCTAATATCAAACATGGACGCTTCAAGATCAGCTAAACTGTTAGCAACAAAGCCTCTATATTCAAACTCAACATGAATTGTCTCGGCCAACTGAGCTAATTTCCAACCCACTTCCTGTAAATGGTCTGTGTTATCGTGCGAAGGCGGTCCGATTCCGGTTAATCGGAAACTGGGTGGACCACCAGGCCTTAAGGCCAAGGCTTGAATCAAAGCTGGCCATTGCATACCCTGTTTCATACTGAAATCAATCACATGAACTCGTTTTTTGTTAGCAAAGGCCTCTAAGATTGCTTGATTTGCAGTGAAGTGGGCAAATTTGAGGTACGGACATGTCTCATAGAAGTCCATTTGAAGGAGATCAGAGAAGGCTGATTCTTGTGGGTACAAACCATAAATTTTGCGGGCCAAAGCCTCGGCAAAGTATGTTGCTACCTTTCGCATAGCTCCAGCTTGTGAAACAGCTAAAAAACCGATGGATTTGACGAGGGCTTCGGCGATTTTGAGGTTGTTTTCTTGGACAGCTTCGGCACAGGCCATGAGGTGTGAACGAGTCGAATACCGTTTTCTTGTGAGTCAACTAGGACTACTGGACGAGTTTGTTCAATTGATCTAAAACTGGACTCGTTTGGACACCCCCAAACTCCAACAGGGGTTGAAGAGGATGATTCGGAAGAGGGTTTCAATTTTTTGTTCGTTGGTTGATACTGTGGCCGTGGTGGTTGGGGTGGTTGTGGTGGTGGGGGCTGTTGATTTTGTGGGTAAATAGCCTTACCAGGAATAGCTTTTAGATCATAATCTGAAGACGAGTCCTCGTAGATTCGAGCAGAGTTCTGACTCGGTCGCTTGTAAATACTTTGATTTTGATCTTGTAGATTGTTTGCCATCGTGGTGATAGTTGACGATTCGGCGAAAGAGTCTTGCATAAACGAAGATGAGTCAAAATTGGGAAGCGGATTGAGCTCAGAAATCATCGATTCAAGCCAAGAAGAGAGATCTGATGGGTTGTAATGAACAGTATCAGAAGCAAGATGAGATAGTCCATCTTCTTGAACACTAACCATCACTTCTTCGAGCTGCTCAAGCTTCTGAGCAACTTCAGCCATGTCTGATGACTTCACTTTGTAACCCAAAACCGCCAAGAGTTCATCAACACCAGCGTCTTGCTCAGTTTCATCCCACATCTTTGATTTTCCGTGGGTTATATTCATCGGAAAATTACCAGCGCCACCACTAGAGCCACCGCCTACGGAGGAGCTGCTGGTGGCGCCAACTCCACGAGGGAAATTTTCTTGGCGAAGATTTGGGTGGTCTCGTTTCATTTCTCTCTCTTTTTTCAAGAATTTTGGGTTTCTGGGTGTTGGAAAACTCGGGAATCAGAGGAGGGTTTCAATTAGCGAAGAATCTGAACATTGCGGATTGGGGAAAGGTTGCTTGGTTTTTCACTACTCCCAGTTGTTTGTTACTAGAGAGAGACAGAGAGGGAGAGAGAGGGGGAAGGGGTAGATGTGAAAGCATAGCACAGGGATATATAGTACGAGTACTGAAAGTAACAGAGAAATAAGAAACGCTCGTGAATGGGCCCTGGCTCCAAAGAGCCAACAAGAAATTAACATCAGGCAGATAAGATCAAATAAATACATTTTTTTTTTAATTATAAAATAGTTAAATAAATTTTATAATTTGGTTCACGAATCAAACAACACGTAGATGTAATTTTATACGGTTTTACTTTGTTAATTTTTTAGTATCATATTTTTTTTTATTAATTAAAATATCATATATAATCAAAGTTTATATATTCTCAATTTAGTCTCTTGGATTCTAAAATATTTAGATTTAAATTGATTACAAATAGGATTTTTTTTTTTTTGTTTAACATAAGGAATTGGGAGTTTTTTGTGTTCTTACAATGAGGGATTGGTGTGGTGGAGTGCTTTGATTAAATTTTGCATAGAAAGAAGCTACATTGTCCTAAAGCTAGAGATACTTGGCAATTAGGTTAAGAAGCTATGTTGTCCTAAAGCTAGAGATACTTGGCAATTAGGTGATGAGTGGCTGCTTGATAAATAAGTGTCCTAAAATAAGTTGTTGCTATACTTGAGCTAATTTGAGGATTTCAATCCACTCTAGAATTCAATTTTCTAAATTTTTTTCATCATTTTTGGACTAGTGAGTAATCCATTAATATGTATCGGTCTTTTTTTTTTTGTTATAAAATTTTTAAATTTGCGTTAACTATTCTCTCAAGTTCAGCAGTTGGGCGCTGTGATTTAAGCTAAGTTAGAGCATGTCCTTTTAAAGATAAAAATGACTAGCCCTTAAGAGTGTGAGAAAAAATTAAACATAAGATCTTTGAGTTACCAAAGACTAAGCTCAACTATTAAATCAACTTAAGGGTTAACAAGTTTAATTTTTATTCATTATAGACAATTTGTTATTGTGAAAAGTATAAAAAAATATCATTTTTGTGCATCTATTTGTCCAATGGAATAGCTTAAAGATCTTGCCTAAGAATTTTTTTAGTTATCCTCTCAAGTTGCATTTTTTTTTCTCCCTCTCAAGAAAGTGAAGCCGGTCTACTTTGATTTTCCAAATCTTTACCATGTGCATGTAAGATAACTAGCCAAAAAAAAAAATGGCATTGATGTAAACTTTACCATTAATTTAAATTTTTTTTGTTTATGAAGCAAGGTTACATCAAGATTGACTTCTTTTCTTATGTTATCCAAGTAACTATTTCTCAAACATATGCTATATGTTCTAAGATAAACTAAACCATCTAAATTTGATTTCCAACACACAATCATATTTTTTTTTTATCATGTTATATTGTATTAATGGGGGGGTAGACAAATTGGCCAAAATTAAACTTACTTGATCAAGTTAGAGATCCAAAATTTTAATTTCATTTTTAGGTAAAAACAAGAATTTATCCTAATAATTGTTCCAAATTTATTGTTTGAATGCCCAAATACTTTGTAGATGGAAGAAAGAACAAAAAAAAAATCAATTAATGATACTCATCTTATAAACTATATTGTTTTTAGAAATTAAGAAAATATCATTAAAACTATATTTTTTTCTTCATATTGTTCCTTGCTTTTTCATAAGAGTAATGTTATTTAAATTTAAAAATTTGATAAAATTTATTGACCTAATGATGTGGTTTTATTTGAACCATTTGATTAACACAAAATTTCAATATTTGATGGAACTCACAATCAATCCAAATGATATAATGAATTAAGTCTTAGCATTGCTCTTAGGTTAACTCTAACTATCTGCAATTTTCAACTATTTTCGTTATTCAAAATAAAAAAGTTGGTTTACTTATACACATTTAAGTAAAACTAGTAAAATTGTTTTTAAAATATACATATATTCTTTTGTGTGTTGATAATAAAAAATACTAGTAAAACTGTCAAACACTACTTATCCCCTTTGAGTTATTTTAAAATTATGATAAAAAAAAAAGTTATTTTAAAATAACTTAATTTTATAAATTTCAAAAACCTAATTATGTAGGGTACGGTATTAATTTTGACAAATATAGGGATCGTCAAATGCAATTTCGCAAATCATTCAAACAGAAGCGCGTGTGAGGAGAGCATGGCTACAAGTTCCTACACTGATTGATTAATTTCAGTGTCAGAGCTGCCCCACATGAGGGAAACCACTTGACCAAAGGACCCCGCCGTCTCTCTCTCTCCTCCTCTCAGACGCCGTGGCCGTCTATAAAACCGAATTCCAAACTCCAAAGTAAAGGTTGTGAGTGGGTTGTATCGGTTCGTGTAATGATAGAAATTTATTTTTAATTTAAATAACTAACAAGTAATACAAAATAAAAATTAAAAAAAATTCATATGTGATAATTTTTTATGGAAAAAACAAACAAAAATATAATACTGAAAAAAATTAATATTTCAATGTCATAACGAGACGCAATGAATTTATTTTGATTTTACTTATGTTTGTGTTAATTAATTTATCTAGTTAATCTAACGAGCCTATTCGTTTTTTTCATACAAATTCTTTGACAATAATTATATATTCCTTGATTTTATATAAATTTTGACAATAATTCTAAACTCCTTGATTTTATATAAATTTTGTGTTGAATTTAATATTAATATTTTTTTTGTGAGTATCTCTCTAATATACTTTGCCTTTAATTTTTTTAGTAAATTATTTATTATGAATTTAAGTGAGACTTATTATATATAAATGCTAAATAACTCAAAATGAATTCAAAAATTAAAATTCAAATATATATCATTTATTGGATGAGCGTTCGATGAGGAAGTATCATTAAAAAAACTAATAGGACTCATTCATTTAAGAAATTATATGTATTTGAATTTTACAACATTAGTCGATGTTAAATGACACATTCAAGTGAGATTCATTGTAACGATGAAACTTCACTTTCATATGAAGATTGAAACTTAACTTAAACGTCTTTGGAATCTGTTTAAGGTCGACTTTAACTCCACTTTCACTATCATATTAGGAACATTGAATTACACTTGTAATATCGAATTTTATTTTTTGGAATCCTCATTTCTAGTTCATATTCATATAGATCACTTATAAGAATAAAATGTTCAACTCCCTAAAACATGTGTAATTAAAAGACTCAGAATATACACACATTCAAGTGAAATTTATTACGTACAAGTAATTTCTTCATTTATTAATAATAAATAATGTGCGAAAAAAAAATTTAAAAAAATATATACTCAGTGGATCTAGATCTCCAAACGGAGAATAAATAAAAACTTGGGGCGTTCACAACGTCCTCTCCTTATCCTTTCAACTAATAAAAAGTGTCCTTTCATCTCTCTCTCTCATCATCCGCTAGCTTGTATTGGGTTTGTCATCCGGGTCCACCTCTCTCTCTCTCTCTCTCTCTCTCTCTCTCTCTCTCTCTCTCGCCATCCTCTCTTCTCTCACAGAAGAAAATATTACAGCAGAATCAGCCTCTTTGAAAATATCAGTGAGGCTATTCTTGATGCCGTTAGCCCAATCATCACCAAGTTGAAGTTTCAACTTTATTTTTTTTGAACCGGTAAAAAGAATAGCAAGGGAGTGTCCATTAAATTTGAGTAGTCAAACATTAGATTTACAGTTGTATCCTAACTAGGTGTATGTCTATAATTATGTGAAAAAATTATAGATACTTCGAGAAGCAAAATTTTATGTTGAAATTCAATAATGTTATGGTTCTAGTCAAAGGTGACTTCATTTTAGTGGAGCACTAAGTGGATCTCATGCCAATCATTTCCCTCAAAGCATGCTAATCTAGATACTGTGAGAACTTATTATTGTAATGATTTAGAAATAAAATTACCTAATTGGAACTTATGAGTCATAGATTCAAGTTTTTATATCTAAAAACGTAATAAATTTGATTCACAAAATAGATTATTAAGTACTCAAAGGAATAAATTGTATCTATTCTATCTTAATTTTAATTTCAAAAATATAGGAAAATTGTGTCATGGACTCTCTTTCTTTTTCTTCTTTTGATTCAACGGTTAAGAGTGTTCGAATCAGTTTGCGTGTATGTCGATTAATCAATTTTTCGATCTAATCAAAGATAAGTCATTCATACTAAAACTATAATATTTTATGAGAGATAAAACCCCTCGTGATTGTCAAATTTAAACTCAATACATCAAAATTTATAACTCATTTTCATTACATGTTTATGTGTTATAGCAACTCCAAAAGGCTAGTTAAAACCCCATTTTTAACTATTTTAAATAGTTTATCCCTAAAATGTAGTTTTAACAGATTAGTTATTCCCTTATCTATTTTCCACAACTCTATTTTCACTAGCTACATCTAGCTAGCCACTTCTCTCTAACTACTTCAAGATTTGTTGGTATAGTGTTTGGATGAGGCGATCAATGGAGAGACGATGACATTCAGTTTGATCAAACTTGAAGCCTTCAGAAGTTTTCGATTAAATTCGAAAGTTTTAAGATGATTTTGTTTTGAATTTTGTGATTTAATTTGAGAGAATTTGATTTTGTAGTAGTAATTTTTGGAAGGTGGGTTCTCTCTTATAGCCTATAATTAATTAAATTTGTACAATATATAATTAAATTATTATTTTTTAAATTTTATTATTGAAAATTAGTTAAAGTTAGTTGAAGTGGTTAGTTAAAATAAATAGAATTGTTAAAGTGAATTTGAAAAAATAATTAATTAAAATAAATATATATAATATATAAATAATGTTGGAGATACTGTTAATGATTCAAGATCTACCCATGAATTTGCTATTCCTTAATTCTAAAAAAAGTCAACTAAG